ATATATATATACACATAGATATACATATACATATATATATATATATACCTACCTACCTACCTACCTACCTACCTACCTACCTACCTACCTACCTACCTACCTACCTACCTACCTACATACATACACTCATTTATTTATGTATGTATGTTTGTATGTATGTATATATATATATGTATGTGTGTATGTCTGTATGCACAGACTTATAATTTCAATATACACACATGGACATAATCCCAATCTTGCCCATGCGATCAGCTCTGCAGTTGCTTAACAGTTGCCAGTGGAAGTTTGGAGCCACATGGACAGCGCTATTAGTAAGGATGCTGATCGCTGGCCTTGGGTCTGTATCATTGGGGTACCGTCTTTGTGTTTCCTTGTCGTCGTTGGGAAGCGTACAGGCTCAGCAGCTCTTTTGACACTACTGTGATGTCCTGATATGGCGGTCTCAACCAGTGCAAGTCGGCTTGGGGGAGTATCCGGTTGTGGATCAGGTTAGTTTGACAGTTGGTTCTTTCCTGCAATAGCAGCTAACCGCAGCAGTTCGTGACCCACTCAGTATTTCTAACCCAATGAACACTGTGTACCTCCTCACTTCTGACTTGTTCCAAATTATATTTTCTGGGCTAATCACTCCTGTGCGATCAGCTCTGGGGAATCGGTGCATTGTTAAACAGTTGGTATTCATATTATTATCTCAGGCTAGACAAACATTATCAGGTACATGTTTCAGTTTTTGTGTCTTGCATTTATTGACATTCTGGTTAGTATATAACTAACACGTCTTAGTCCTTGAATATCCACACATGTGCTTTAATAGAACGATGGGCCAGTCCGGTAAGACATTAACAATGGAGGACTGGCAATGTTAAGAAACTATTTCAGTATGTGGCTGCTTGCTAAAGTTTGTATTCAGCAGGTTGGTTCTTGATATATTGTCTGTATACCAATAAACCTTTACATGCTTGTTCTGAGTTTAGTTCATCTGAAGTCTGTGCATGAGTCACAGTAAGTCATGTCCATACCTTCGTTGGCCTGACTACGTGTTGTCTTTTGTGCAAAACCACTGTAAAGATGTTACACCTACCAAATCATGACCCTTGCATAGTCACGCTTGCTACGATTGTGTTATGGACTGCTGCTAGTGTACTTGCCAGGGGTTTGTACCATCAGCACCTGTTAAAGCCATGCAAACATGAACACGCAACAATTAGGGCCCCCCCCCATGCAAACATGCAGCACAGGAAAGTCGATATCTTGCATTTTTATCTTGCCAAGGCAATCATCTCGCATAAAGACTTGCCAATCGTATGGTTGAATTCTCCACTGAGGTTAAGTGCAAGCTGCGGGATTTAAACAAGCCAAGGTTGAATAAGCTATTGACAAAACGGTAGGTTCAAGATATAAAATGAGATTTTCAACCCAATGAGAGTACCCTTATAAGCTTCTTTGAAATTTCGCCATATTTATATCTTTGCTGCGATGGTCTGTCAACGGGGGTGGTTAGCATAAATCAATAAATAAATATGTATAGATAAAAATGCACAGCGGTATCTCACCAAGTAGACTTTTTATCGTCGCAGCGTGTTCTGGCACTTATTGAAGTTTTAGTGTGGTTTGGCAAGTTTCCTTGCTGTGAGGCTTTGTGTGTCTTGACGTGGTTGCTGTGCACCGTCAGGCGCAAATACACACTGCGCGCACCCACACACACACACACACACACAAGTATCTGCATATACAGTCACATACATATGTAAGGTCATATATGTATACGTGCGTGTATACATTCCGTCATCCATACATACGCACGCACACACATATACTTGTGTTGAATGGGCCCTGGCCTGGAAGGTCCGCTCGCCAGCGGCCCTGCGCCAGATGGGAGCGTGTTTCAGGCCAGCTGCGCGACAGGTTTGAATCGGCTATGCGGATTGCTCACAGATATTTATCTATCTGTCTCACATCTGAATCCAGTTTTATCAAAGGATCAGTATGCACTTGTGCAGTCCTTTAACAGATTATACCGTATGCCAATGCACCTTATGTCATCATGGTCCCCTATGTATCTTGGCACATCGTCGTGAATAACCCTGCACATACAGCAAGTGTACGTAGTTATAGACGTGTGAATATGTAAGTGCGCCTGCGTATGTATGTGTATATACTCAAACATACATATGCGTAAGGTTGTAGGTATTTGCCCATGAGTTTTAACGGTTCTAGTAAACGTGATGCTGTATGTGGTTGATAGCTGCATACATGTACATCGCTGTTTATTCATATGTCTGGACGGGTATATGGGCAAGCGCGCACGCACGCGCACGCACGCGCACGCACGCGCACGCACGCGCACGCACGCGCACGCACGCACGCACGCACGCACGCACGCATGCATGCATGCATGCATGCATGCATGCATGCATGCATGCATGCGCGCACCCATGCACATGCAGGCCACCACGTAGATGAGTTTGCATACATACAGAAGTGACTAACACATGTAGGCATACGCACACAACTTGTATATGTCGTAATTCCAATCTTGCCACAGTTCTTCTACAAAAGCCATGCCAGGACAAGTATGCAATCGGCCACCAGCTTGGGTCAGGACGGAACGGAGTGTGCGACTGCGAGCGAGTGTGCAATGATTCTGGCTGAAGCCCTCGTGACGCACTGACACGCCGAAGTTGCACGAAAGATCTATGACCAGACAAAGGCTTGATCAACTCTCGTAACTCGGAGCAACTGCGTTTTTGCTGTGCCAGGCAGTTATGGATCTGTGACTTGTCTGCACGATTTGGTTTCTTGTTGTGGCCCAGACTTCAGTTCGATGCAGTCGCAGATGTGTGGGTTTGACACCTGCTTTGGTTCCTGTGCCTTTTCATGTCGCTCACCTCTCTCTAATGCGAGTGAACCTTGCGTGCGCCACCGCCATCTTATTGCCCTTGCCATTCGCCGTTGGCGGCTTGAGGTTCATAATTCTCCATTCCATTCGTTCTTTAGCCTGCCTTTCATGTCCTTTCACTGTTCGCTACTCACCATCCGCTCTCACAGGTTGAGGCCAGCATTCATTGCTAAACGTTTGCAGCTTGCCATGTGCGGGTCGCGTTTCACATGTCATGGCCGCCAACATCGTCATCATCATCTTCATCATCATCATCATCATCATAATCATCATCAACATCATCATCATCATCATCATTTTCAGCATCACCACCACCATCAGCATCACCATCATCACCATCACCATCACCATCATCCCCGTCCTCCTCCTCCTCCTCCTCCTCCTCCTCGTCCTCATCCTCATCCTCAGCATCATCATCATCATCATCAAAGTCATCTTCAATCTGAGCGTCATCAGCGTTTGTGACCATTGTTCGTCTTGACAACACAAGTCACTACCGCTGTCATTCTGAAGCAAGTCGGTCAAGTTGCAAATGTCCTGGCTTGAGTGTAAGTGCGCACCTGTGGTCCGTAAATACTTCGGTGAACTACTACTCCAAGTGCTAAACTGGCCGAGCGCATTCGAAAACCGATTGCTAAGCCAGTTTAACTGCGCAGCCGATGGTGGCCTTAGTGGTGTTGGTGATGATGATGACGAGGAGGAATAAGGTGATGATGGGACTGGAAAGGCCGACAGACATGGCGATGATGCTGGTAACGAGGACGATGGTGATGATTTCGATGGTGATGTGGTTGATGGTGGCGGTGGTGATGACGACGATGAAAGTGAGAGCAACAGCCGCAACGATGATACTCATAATGCTGTTATTGATACTGAAACACTGTGGTGATAGTGATATGGATATTACTGATGCTGATGGAAGTAATGCTAAGGTATACTCCGTCCACTTGCGTGATGCTCCACATGATGGAACTCGCGCTGCGAAGGCTCCCGGTCTCAGTTCACGCTGTCCGGGCACGCGGTGCGGATCTTCAGGTGATTGACATTGCGCCGAGCGACCAAGCGAACAAACGCAGAACAAGGCGCTGTGTTTGTCCCCTAAGCCCTAAATCCTAAACCGTGTGACGCACCGCGCGAACTTAGATGGCCCTTGGCCAGGACACTCAAGGGGCTGTTGATGGAGGTCGACCTTTGGCAGCTTGGGGGCCATCATGCAGGCTCTGAGTTAAGTGGCCATGTGGAGTTCACTGAGTTCACTTCTATTCCCCCCTGTAACGCGAAGGGGAAAGGCTAGAGTCAGCTGCCCAGCAGCTTCAAATCTGACCTTGAGCACTTTACTACGGTGCAGATACAAGATGTATTGCTCATTATTGCACCCTCGATGCGGCTGACTGCTCGGCTTTGGCCGAGCGATTGCTGCCGGGTTCACATCTCTATCTGCGATTGTTCTTGTTTGACTGTTTCGCAGGCATCGTGAAGCTGTTCGAAGTTTTCGTGGGCGCAAACTATTTTGCAGAAGCTTGGCTTGCATCAGACGTCGATCCACCAGGCATTCCTCAAGCCACCCACTCTCAGGCCATTATGGAAGAGTGTGGGCCCAGCCTCCTGCAGCGAGTTCACGAAATTGGGCGAATGAAGGCTGCAGGCACGGTGCAAGCACAGGAGTAGTACTTGTGCAAGCCTGTGGATTCTGCTGCAGATGTGGCACGCATCCTGAAGCAGATGCTACAGCCCATTTGCCACCTGCATGACTTGTGGCTTGGCCTGCATCCTGGTGCTGCAGTGTAGGACGAGTGAGGGCCTTGTCGGGACCATTTGAAGAATCTGCTCCCGGCACTCGCCAAGGCAAATTGTGCACCGAGACATCAAGCCCGAGAATTTCCTCTTCGAAGATGCGGTGGACAGGTCTGTGCGCTTCACTTTCAGTGGTGGTGTTGAGACGTCACCGTCAAGTGTCGCTACCGCTATGCAGTGCTTTGTAGCAAGTTTGCCTAAGAATTAGCTGCAAATACCTGTAGTCACTGCGACCAGAGGCAGGGCTACAGAATGTTGGGAATGCCTGTCGCTGAAGCATGCACAGGTCCCGGGTCAAGCTTTGTGATTTCGGCATGGCGGCGAAGGTTCCGATGAGAGGCTGGTTGCTCCATACCACTTTGCTCTTCAAGCACTTCTAAGCACACGTGTATCGCTGCCGTTGGCCTTTGCTGCCACTGCAGTACAAGACGCAAACGTGCTTAGAAAGCAGAACAGTCGGCGGTATGCGAAAAGCAAACTAGGAGCCAGGTTCTTGACGCAAACTTTCGGGAAAGTGTGGAGGGATAGCGTGCTCGAAATTGTAGTGACGGCTCTGGCCCAGAGCCTTACAGCGTCGTCTAGGCGCATTGTCGGGAACATGTTCGGAGGTTCAGACAGCTTCTGTCCCAGGGCATCCCATCTCGCGTTCTCGGACGGGTCTAGCAGAGAACATGCCTTGCGACATTCTTCATGCATACTGTCCCAGAAATGCCCTGATTGCGTCTTCGGATAAAACCTCTCCCAACCCTAAGCGAGCTTTTCAGTCAGCCCAGGCCTGCTCCGGGGCCGCTTCGGCACACTGCCCTACATGTCTCCAGAAATGGTGTCCAGAAGCAGGGTACTCAAAAGGCTTGCCGGTTTAGGGTTTGGGAGGTAGCACGAGAAGGGAGGAGCTTGCAGGCACGAAGAGCAGGGAGTATCAGCTGCAAGACTTCGGCACCTACTCGTAGGGCAATCTGGGGTCAGCTTCTGCACCGAGGTGGTCACAGCTTTGCCACGGACGTCTGGTCTTTCGGTGCTTCTGCTTACTTCCTGCTCTTCCAAGAGTTCGTGCTTCTCACCAGAATCTGACATATCGTGGAGGGCTGGCATGAGGCGAGCTTATGGCGTCCAGGGCTCATGCTGGGGCCCGACGGATTTCGCTCCCTGAGGTGTGTCAGTTTCATGACTTGCGTCGCGTATGTCGTGCAGAGGAGCTGTGTTTCAGTATGCAGAGAGTCTAGCCAGTCTAGCACGTGACTTTGCAACTTTACTCTTGTGCTCTGTGCACTTGTCTTCGCCGGCGCCGCTTGGACTGTTCACCTGCTCAGCGTCGCCAGTCATGCCATAATCTGCCTTTCACTTTATTTTCCCCGCTCGAGCATGTTGTTTGCCATGCCTTTCGACTTTGGATGTCCGTGGTGTGTATTCTGCTGTGCGTAGCCAGCAGCTATGGACGCGCATACTCCCGGATTCTAGCTTAGGTACATGCCAGCATGCCCGCACTGCCAACGGTCCATGGAGCAGAGCATTCAGCTGGACAATCCACGACCAAGGCCATCAGGGCGTGATCTGCTTTCTTTTCCATGCCGGCACCTTGTTGAGAGGGAATGTAGTGTGCAAAAGTCATCTTCCCTTGTGCAAGTCCGAAGCTTGCCGCACACCCATCGCGATCGCGTGACATGTGACTTCCTCGTTCCCACTGCCTTGAAGGGCCATGGTTGAGATCCAGGAGTGGGGTTGGTCGCGTTGGCAGCCGATTTTTTTGAGTCTTGGGTTGTCGGCTTAAGCAAATGGAGAACTCGTTGAACGTGCATGAGCATCTACAAATTGGTTCAGGTTTCTCGTCAAGACGACAGAGCTGAGCAACGAAACAGCGCTGCAGGCCTTTCATCAGAGTTGCCCGATTCGTCCGCCTTGAGAAATCATAGCACTCGCTCTATTCCTAAAGTAAGGGCCCGATAGTCTTACCACGATGCACGACAAGGACAACGGCTACTGCTGCTCCTCCTTCTGATCCTGCTTCATCTCGTGCTGCTGCGGGGGCTGCTGCTGTGCTGCTGCTGCTGC